ATGGTATACGGTGACATCCAATACTTGGTGAGTGCCCTTAAATTGACAATACTGAATATACGACAATGAGCTGCAAGCTGCATTTACTGAGAGTAGTCTTTGTTCTGCAGGTATTAGACGAGGCAGACACAATGTTTGATCGGGGCTTTGGTCCTGATATTCGCAAGTTCATAGCCCCATTAAAACAGCGTGCTTCTAAACCTGATAGCCTAGGTTTCCAGACTGTTTTGGTTACTGCAACCATGACAAAGGTATGCTGATTTGTACTAAAAGCTTGTTGGTCACACATACAAAGTAAATATTACTAGTTTAGAAGCTTATTCGTAAAATGATCATAGTAGTTCATTTTGATCTGATACTGGTAATAAAATGTTTACATGGCTATAATTTGTTATCTCTATCATTTTATCCCTTGGTATGTATAACCCTTCACATGCTTGTTTGCAAATGATTTGCAAAACAGGAGCTCATCAGTATTTTTCTCGTGGTTTTTTCAGTTGGCTGTGCAAAATTTACATATAAGTGCGAAATAATAAATAGATACAGTACATTTATGAATTGAGAAACATAAAGTTTTCTTGCGAGCAATACTTTCAAAGGTTGACATCTATCTTTTCACGTATTGTTTCAAAGCTAAAAACATGTCATCCCTCCTAGATATTAATCCCACAATACATATCATCTTCCAGTATCTTACGTATTGTTCAGAAACTATCATATTGCAACAGTTGATGCTATTCTTTGTATATCAGTCTTTTATGGTGTTATCATAGTTGTCATTACTTTTCTAATCATGTATAATGAGAAAGGGCTAATGACATCTGGAAATTTATTATTTTAACTTTAAAATTTATTGGTTGTTTTTATTTTGACATTACCACTCAAATTTTTCTTTCTTCTTGTACATGTTAAATATTAAACGGGTTTTGCGGGTTTTCTTCTGTGTCTTTATTAATCCCTTACTAGCTTGGTTTGAATTCAACCATTTTGTATGCATTTAAATGGTTTAGCTTTGTTAATGCAGAGATGTGGCGGAACAGTCAGTATCCATAAACTTTATGTGGATTCTTCATTTGATCTAGTTTAAAATATTGTAAACACCTGTTATTTCTACACTGGTTATATTGTTGAAAATAGCTGATAGAGTATCCTACAAAAGTAATTCGCCTATGGCTATGTAATAATACTTTCTACTAAATAGTGTATTGTGGAAAAATAGCAGTTCGTTCCAATTCCGCTATGTTATAGCGCTATACCTTATACTTGACAACACCGAGTGCTTCGTTCTTATGAACACTAGACAATCTCTATTATATATATAAATCTAATGAACAATTTCCAGGTTAACATTTTATAGTGAAGTTGCTAACTGTTGACTTCTTTTAATCTTGCAGGCTGTGCAAAATCTGGTTGATGAGGAGTTTCAAGGCATTGTCCATCTGCGCACATCCTCGTTGCATAAAAAGATTTCTTCTGCTCGTCATGATTTTCTTAAACTTTCTGGTTCTGAGAACAAGCTGGATGCATTACTTCAGGTACATGTAGTTTGCAATCTGCAGCATTATACATGTCAGCCAATGATTGTGTTGAGATGTGATGTAGCTCGAGTTACACATAGTTTATCTGGGAATTGCTTGGTTTTGGGTCTGAAATTTGAACCCTGTTCAAGCTGCTTTGCTTTTAAAACAACTCTAGGAAGAAGTCTATGCTGTGTTGGGAATAAAAACTTCTACTTTTGTGTTTCAAGCTGTTCAGCTGATACTTTTTTTTCCTGATAAAATAAAAAGCTGACAGTTTACAACACTGGCTTTTTTTGCTATTATGAATTTTTAACGTACATAATAACTGAATAATAACTGTTGCCTACATCCACTTAAAAAGAAGGAATGGGTGAAGCTGCCTTCACTAATTGCACCACACAAAGTTATATTTGTTAAGAAATTGTGGTTGAGCCTAACTCAACCCTACAAAACCGGTTGGTAAAGTGAGAATTGCTCCCACTTATAAACACATGTTCATGCCATATATTGTCTGATGTGAGACTCTTAACAATATTAATACCACATTATTAGTTACATACCTAATTATAAGAATAATTAGCTCGTCAGAGTGTTCTAAACAACCCGGACTGTAACAGATGAGAAAAATGCACCTGATGGTGCATGCTGCATATATGCTACAAGGCTAAGCGACAGTACAGATGGTGTAATGGAAGCCTAAATCTGTAAGGCTTGCTGATCCACCTAAGTTTTTTTTTCCTTTGGCAAGGGTCTCCAAACTATGAAAGCGGGGTTAATTGATAAGATCTATCTCCATCCCCAAATCTAGGACCCTCTTTAGATATTTCCCTATCCTTTTTTATAAAACCTCTTTCAAATTTTCAACTACATTATTTATTTCTTTACTGACATATCCCTGATTATGTTACCTATTCAACCTGTAATAAATACTACGAGGACATAAAGTAGTTCTCACTCTTGTAGGGTAAAGTTCTAAAACAGTACCAATTATCAACAAATTTAATACTACAACCAACTTTCTCTATCCCTGTGATTTAGTCAACGGGTTCTTATATTTAAGGAAGGAGGCAATTAAATGCAAATCGGCCCTGTTTCTTCATGCTTGGAACTTGAATTTTATTGCAGTTTTTCTATTATTCTGCTCGTATTCACGTACTCAGCATTGTCATCTGTTTTGTCTGCTTTATAGTGAAACCTGAGGTGCATTTCTTCTTATGGTAGTCCATGTATGCTACATATTTACTATCAGACTACTAGCTGGAATGTGTATTGTTTTGATTCACATGGTTTTTATTATGCAATTTGTAATCATATGATTGCAGGTATTGGAGCCAAGTCTTGCCAAGGGTAACAGGGTAATGGTTTTCTGCAACACATTGAATTCTAGCCGTGCTGTGGATCACTTTCTTGGTGAAAATCTGATTTTTACTGTGAACTACCATGGGGAGGTACCGGCGGAGCAAAGGTCATACACTAATTTAAGATTCTTTGGATACTTCTCATGCCTAATAATACTGTTGTGATTTTGTGATGCAGTTGTAGTTATTGGCTGTATGCTTAGATGATTTGTTAAGCCTCTAGGAAACAACCCTGTCAACTGTTAAATTTTAGATGGGAAATAAATAATTGAAATTTGTTTTAATTCTGCTATGCTATAACACACGATAGAGATCTGTTTTAATTCTGCTATGCTATAACACACGATAGAGATCTGTTTTAATTCTGCTATGCTATAACACTAAAGCAGCTATTGCACAACACTGGATGGGGAGAATACTTAAAAGTATCAGATGCTTCGTTTCCCTTTATTCCTACTCACCTGTATCACTTTTCTTTTAAATGCAGGGTTGAAAACCTCAACAAGTTCAAGAGTAACACTGGAGATTGCCCTACATTGGTTTGCACAGACTTGGCTGCTAGGGGTCTGGACTTGGATGTCGATCATGTTATCATGTTTGATTTCCCTCTGAATTCTGTGAGTATCATATCTCATTAAAATATTTATTAGGTCACAAATCCCTTCTTTCTATCTTTTTTTTTAATTACCAATTGGTTACTTACGATACTTTCCCTTTCAACGGTAGATCGACTACCTCCATCGCACTGGTAGAACTGCTCGTATGGGTGCTAAAGGTAACAATTTCTTATTTGTCTCTGTTTAACCAATTTGAGAATATTGTCCTCACCAGTGTAGTCAAGATCGAGCATTAGATCGTAAGATCATAAGATCTTATGTGCTAAGGATGCCTGAGAGTGCTACGATCAGAGAGAGATTGTATTCTTTGCCGGCGTGGTCAAGATTGAGCTTTTTGAAGCAAGATCATAAAAAAAACGTGCTAGGTCTTTTTTTTTTTTGGGTTTGTATTAGGAAGCATAAAAACACACTTTTTTCTGTTGCAGGGAAAGTAACAAGTTTGGTTACTAAAAGGGACTTCGGCTTGGCAACCAAAATAGAGGAGGCGATAAGAAAGAATGAAAGTTTGGAGGCAATCACTAAAGAAAGTCTGCGAATGGACGCAACCAGGAACCAAATCACTGAGCAAAGAAGAAAGAACAAAAATGTGGTCAAAATTTCAAAAGCTAGGGACAAATCTGATTCTCGTCCATCTTCTACCACTAACAGGTCAGGTATTAGGGACAAATCTGATTCTCGCACCAGTTCTGCAAATACTAGATCAGGTATTAGGGGCAAATCTGATTCGCGCACCAGTTCTACAAATACTAGGTCAGGTATTAGGGGAAAATCTGATTCTCGCACCAGATCTGAGGATACCAGGTCAGGTATTAGGGACAAATCTGATTCTCGCACCGGTTCTGGGAATACCAGGTCAGGCATGAAATCTGGTAAACAATCTTCGCCATCAAAGTCTTCAAAGAAAGGATTTCCCGTTTCAAAATCTGTAAAATCTTCCAGTCCAAGTAGCTTCATAAAAGCTTCTTCGGAGAGTAAGCGAACGGGTAAAAGGGCCACGGCCACCAAATCTACAAATCCTAAACTCAGTGTTGTCGGGTTTAGGGGGCGGAATGCATCATCATCAGATAAGCGGCAAACATTTTAGTGAAGTGGATTGGAGTCATATTATACCCGAGTCGTAAGTAAATCACTCTTGGTTTTGTATTGACTTAATAGTTATTTTTTGACAGATAGTTTTGATATTTTCCATAGCAAGAATAGAGTGTTAATTTGTATGGTTTTGCCCAACATTATACATCAATAGTTTAAGTTAGTTTATTTGATAAAATAAATTTTTACAAAAGATAAAGTAAATTCAAACTGCTTTTATATATATGTTGAAAACAATTTGGAAATGTCAATAGTTGATTTCATAAACACTCTCAAATAGTCTCACATGTGTTTCTGTTAGTAAATAAACTCAAATGAGACAATTCAGACAATCCTATATATGGATACAATACACAAGATACATTTGACATATCGACAATGCATGGTTGGATACTCTGTTCTGGTTCTTGACATTGTTATTTCCATGTTAGTAATGGATGAGAAGTTTTAGCAGGGTTTACAACATTGCCATTGGAATCATAGATGATGACACCAGAGAAATCAGGGAGCTGGCACTTCCCACCCATAAGTATATTCTTCTGCCAAATTGAAGCATCTTCTTGTTCTTGTTCACAACAACTCATCATTACCACTTCATTGTTTAGCCCTATAACTGGCTCTTCTGCAAAGGCATTGCATGCGAGCCAGTGACGCCATTTGCGCGAGTGCGAAGCACACATGAGCAACACAACGGCACAAATCATAAGGGTCATAGCAGTAAAACCAATATTTGAAGTGCTTAGTGAAGGGTGGATTACTAAAAGTGGTCTAGCCATATGGGAGAGTGATATGATACACTTGAAAATGAGATATGATACAAAACATGAAATGGGTTTGACTATTTGTAGTTTCATGGTTTGTAGTTGTTAACTAGAAAGTGTAGTTGGTGTTTTAGGATTTGTTAGGATTTGGTTAGTTTTATGGTTTAAGATTCAACATGTGGTTTTGGTAATCCTTGACCTTGTGCAAGGTCTAGCATAGTGGGATTAGGTTAGATATTAAGGATTCTTATCTCTGTGATGTATAATAGTAATATAGGCAAGTTTTCTAAAGGTGAATTCTGAAATGTGATTTGATTGCCATAGGGTTGCATAATAATAGTAATATTCAATATTGTAAAAATCATAGCGAAGATTGAATTGGCAAGATCTATATATTTTTTTAAATCTGAGTCATGATTAAAGATGTTAAATTAATTTAACCACAGTTTGAATTGGATATCTTTTGTAATTTCTAAAAATTTGATATCTTACTGGTCGTCTTAATTTTATTAAAATTAACTTTTAATTCTCTGATTTTAAACTGATTTATTAATTAACTTATTTTACACTCTGCGAATTTTTTAGATTCCTTTTTTCTTTTCTTTTCATAATAGTGATAAGACAACTGAATTAAAGAACTCAAAGTGAAACTATATATATTATATATATATATATATTTTTTTTTTAAATTTAAACTTCTCATACTCAATGACTGTAAAATTTTAGGATGGTGTCTTGTAATTATTGGAATATTTTATTCCTTATATTTTTTAATTTAAAATCATTATTGAGTTTTTAATAATAAAAGGTTTTTAAAATATTATTTTCACAATATATATATATATATATATATATATATATATATATATATATATATATATATATATATATATATATATATATATATAATATATATATTGCACGCATGTAAAAGAAGAAGTCATAGTATATCTTATTGATAGATTCGACGGTTATTATTGATAGGATAGAGTAGCAATTAATCCACCCTAACGCTCTAATCCATTCTACGCTTTGATTAATTGGGTGCGCTCCGATTGATTGGATGAAAAGTGTCATTTATCGTTAAGAGAGGAGGCTTGATATGGTCCATTCTCTTAACGATAAATGCCATCATTCTGATCCAATCAATTAAAGTGCCAAATCGATCATAACGCTTGGACGAACTAATTGCTACTTTGCTATTCTATTCTATCAATAGTAACTGCGGGATTTATTAATAAAATATGCTATTATTTCTTCTTTTACATGTGTGCAAAATATATATAATGTAAAAAAAAATTAATTAATAAAAAAATGTCAATATTATTATCATGATGAAAATGCTACATCTCATGTACTATTAGAGGTCTATTCACGAAAATGTAATATTTGTTGAGCTTAATTCATTACGAGAAGTATTTGTGTTGGATCAGAAACAGAAACAGAGAGGACTTGAATCTTTTATGTGATATATTCTAGACACATCTTATGTATGTTTCATTTGATTTAGATCTTTGATTATACGTATAAAACCAATAGGTATAGGCTACACACTACTAGAAAATTCGGCTTTAACGACCACAAATTCGGTCACTAAAGCCTTAAAATCAATCACAATGTTCGACAACGACTAAATCTAACTTGTGGCTCCGCCGTCATTCCACCGTGCAATCGACTTTTTGGCGTTTGTCTGCGTTTTTGCGATTTTTTTTTGCATTTTTACGATTTTACCCTCTCATGACAGTCCAAAATCTCAAAAATCAACACATACGAATTATACAACTTTTATCGCATCAGAATGAGCACAAATCTAACATATATTGTGAGGGCACTATCCTCTTGGAGGTTTTGAATGACGTCAAAACTAGGTTTTTAGTATTTGTACATTGGACCTTATCTTTCTATGTCTAGGTTGCATCTTCATCTTAGGACACTTATAAAACATGTCAAAAGCATTTGGGCAAGTCAAAAATATGAAATTTTATGAAAAATCATGTTAGGAGTCGACACATCCATGTTAGGAGTCGACTCCCTCTAAAGCAAAAATAAAATAAAAAATATCTATTGCAAAGGAGTCAATACATAGGCTTTTAGGGCCGACACACAACACAAATGGGTCGACTTCCTCGAGCTGTGGGTCGACTCCCACCGAATGTTGCATTTTTCCAAATCTCTGTCCACTTAGAGTCGACTCCTAAATAGCCTGGGTTGACTCCCCAGCTCCTACGAGTCGACTCCATTTTTGAGTGGGTCGACTCCTTCTGTTTAAAATGTCCAATTTTGGTATTAGCCAAACTTGGTTTTTTCTATTTTCTGTTTTACACACACACACACACACACACACACACACACACACACACACACACACACACACACACACACACACACACACACACACACACACACACAAACACGTGTGTGTGTGCGCGCACACACACACACACACATATATATATATAGTCATTCATGCATCATTTTATAGTATTGAAACAAAGAATATACGAAGAACTTTTCATCATTTTTATCCTCTCTCATTGCATTCATACAAAAACTACACATAGTCATTTTTGTTGTGTGATCAAGATATAGTTTGATAAGGTCCAATTAGAATTGATTGTAATTAATTGGGTTAATAATTCTTTAGGGGTTTCAAGATAAATCTATTTGGGGTTTTCTTCCAAGATCGAGGATTGATTTGAGAGTTTTTCACAATAATTTGCAATTTGGATTCAGCCGAGTGAAACCTTTGAAGAACGAAGGTTCAGTTAAAGGAGTAACGATAACTGGATGATTAAATTGGAAGTATTGGGGTACTTGACCGAACTTAAGATTAAGGGAAGAGAAGAAGATAAAATCAACATCGAACATAGAGTTTTGATAGAATTGCATAATGCAGTTAGAGAAAATAGTTAGAAAATTCTTATTGTATTCCATAATCATTGAGATACAATAAACTCTAATTATATAGAAAGTTATTTATAATAGAAGCTTCAGTTAGTTACAATAGAAACTTCTTGAGAGTTGGTTATGACAGAAACTCAATAGAAACTGTAACTAACTAGTTTATAACTCAGCAATATAACAGAAACAGAAACTAACTAGTTTACTAACTCTATCATCCCCCCTTAGAAGTGGAGGTTGTAACACCTCAATTTTTAGTAATTATTTATTTATATTATATTAATTAATTAATTGAGTGATTTTATACATATTTGATTTATTTGAATTATTTGATTTATATGAATTAATTGATTTATTGAATTATTTGATTTAATTGATTTATTTTATTTGGTAAAATAATATGTGGAAATGGTAAAAATAATTAATTGGGCCTTAAATTGAGAATGTGAATAGTAAGTGAAAAAGTTGGTTAGTAAGCCCAATAGGCTTATGAGAAAATTGTGAGATTGATAAAATAAGATAAAGAAATAGAATAGGGCTAGAAGTTGGAAAGGAGGCTAAGGAGAGAAAGAGGAGAGGAGAAGAGGAACCTAAGAGAAAACTCAAGAATCTAAGAAGATCAAGTTAATGGTGGATTTTCATATGATTATTGGGATTATATGATAGTGTATGATGGGTAGTATCATATTTAGGATAAAAATCTCTAATTTCCATGGTTTTGAAATTGATGATTACATGATGTATGATGGTAGGATATTTAAATATGTGTTTTTGGTTATTATAATTGTCATATAATGGTAGTATTTTGAATTCTGGAACTGGAACTTTTTACGGAATTGAAATTGGAGGTCCGGAAGGCCTCCAACGGTAAAAAAATGCAGAAAATTCTGCATATTGTACTGTTTGCATTGATGCATCCGTCGCAGAGGTCGACGCATATTGAGTGCATTTTTATGGATTTGTTTCCGCCTTCAATGCGTCGACTTATCCCGTCGCTATCATGTTGTGTATTGGTAAAATTTTCATTTCGACGATTTTGGCCATAACTTTTGATTCGTAAGTCCATTTTGGTCCCCGTTTGAAGCTTCGAAAAGGTAATGAATAAAGCTATATCATAGTATAGATAAGAGAATTGGTTTTATAATATTTTTATATCTAATGTGTTTGGAGAGCCAATTGTGTATATGTTCTATTAATGGATTGTTGTGCTGTTTGCTGCCGATTGTGAAACTATTTGTGGATAATTTATTGAATACTTGTGTGTGCTTGTATAAGTCTATTTTGGGCGTGATAACATGAAATGAATGATAGTTATTGTTTGTTGTAATGATAAAACAGTCTTGATTGTATTGTAAAATGTGTTGTATACAATTTGAAAGTGAATTGTGTGTGGATAATTCATAAAAATGTGCAAGTATGTGTAATTGTGTGGTAATTCAAGTGTGATGAATTATCGAAGATATGCATGAATTTTAAGATTACAGAATGGTCTTAATTGCATATGGTTATTGAAATTGCATATGCATCATTTGTTGTCAAGAGGCAATGCTTGTTAGTTCCGTAGGAACTAGTGACTTGTCCCAAACCTAGAGCGGGGTTTGAAAGCTTAGGGAATGAGCTTTTTGTGTGTTATTAGTCTAGGGAACGAACCCGGTTTAATGTAAAAACCGAAAAATAATAACAAGTGATTGGTACCCCATGCATGAGTTGCATTAGAGTCTTGCATTGAGTCACATCATGTATATGTTTGTAATATGAGATTATGCGAAATATGTGAAGTTGATGAATTGACGAATTATGGAATTGTGAGTATGTACTTGCGAATAGTATGGTCACTTGAGTGATAATATGTTGATGAAGCTTTTGGAGCGTGAGAATAATTATGTTATGTTTTTGCGCCATAAATTATATATTATCTTATAATTTTGATAATCATGTGAATTGTCACCCTTCTGTTAGAATGGTGTTTTGTACGACATCGCTCAGGTACCGAGGAACAGAGTTGCTTCTAGCGCGAGGTAGCTATTGGAGTAGCTTACTTTAGTTTCTCTATTTATTTTGGGTTGAGTCGTGCTCTGATCATGTAACATTGGGAACATTTCGATTCATGTTTT